GAGATTCATGAAGCTTTTACAGAACACAAGAGAGACAGTAAAGAGCCTCCCTTGTTCAGTGCACTGATGGCTGCAGAGGGTTAGAAGTAATGAGACTCACTTGAAAATCAGAAGTCATAAAATAGTATCTATTTTCTCATTTGTTTGCCTCCCCTGTTTGCAGCCTCCAACAAGAGCCAGGGGCACATTTTCATTTGGTTTTGTTTTTCAGCCAAAAATGGTGTTGTTAAGAAAGAAAAAAGAGGGAAGGAGTAATTTTCAGGAAGTGAGACCTGCAGAAAAACAGCGACTACTGTGAGAACTGATAAAAGCAAAGATGGTGGCACCACTGCATTAAATACAGTTTTGGAATTTAATTTCATTTTCAACCCTGCCTCGTTCCTTGTCTGCTAATTTCAAGCCTAAACTAACTCTGCTGTTGCTAAGCCTTCCAGGGGAGAAACTCGTGTTTCTAAGGGCCGTTACAGTTGACACAGCAGGGCTTCGGCTGAAAACTAATCTGATGTGAAGGTTGGGTCTGGAGGACACCCTGGTACATATTGCCGTGCCCCTGGCTGCTAGGTCAGAGCAAATTCGGTGGAGCTCAGCCCCGAGTATAAGGGTTGCAATTGTGCTGGTGTGGTGGGTGGTGAGAGACAGCCTGTTCCTATAGGCACGGGGGAGGGATGGGAGGTGGAAGGGGGCTGGGGGAGGAGAGCTTCATTTGCTGCTGCTCCCAGGGCTCTTAATTGCAGCAGCATACATGGTGATAAGCTGCTGAATTGCCTTTCATCGGCCAGGAAACCCAGCATGTGAAAAAATTTGGTATGTCATTGTCTGTTTGCATAGCTCGCTGCCTGACCCGCCGGTCGGCACACAGGAGGGGAAAAAAAAAAGGACAAGTATTATTGCCACCCCAAGAGCCACCGATCAAGGCATCCTCCTGCCTGCCCCAGAGAGATGGAAGGAGCGAGTGGTGGAAATTAGTTCACTTTGGCCACGTTGCGTGCTTCATTTATCCTCCTTTTGAGCCATAACCCCTGTGACAAAGCGTTTTCCCAGCTGCAGACTCACGGCTGGGCCCTGTGGAGCTCGGACTGGAGAGCGAGGGGTGGCACAGGCGTTGGTCACAGTGTCTGGGCACAACCTCCCTTGGTTTTTACAGTTCCTCGGCCCGACTCCTGAGCACTGAGGAATTGCAGGGAACCTGTAGTTTGCTGATTTATTTATCTGGCTCTTCCTGTGACTTCCAAGGAAGGGTTTCCTTGTCCCTATGCTAATTCAAGCCCTGCTGAATAAAGAGGCTTTTTTTTCCTGTCCCATCCTGCAAGAGGTCATCTTTATTCAAGAGCCATGAATGATGTGCGCTGGGTACTAATCGCGCACAAAGAGCCCCGTCCGGAGCCAGCCAAGCATACAGCTGTCCTTTTGTTTACAGAGATGGAGAGGGAACCTAAAAAGTGCTCCTGCCCCTGGGGACAATAGTAGCAGCTCATGAGATGCCTGAGATTTGGCAGGGCCCCTCTTTCCTGGCGCTAAAGGACCTTTATTAAACGTAAATCATGTCAGCTGCTACCACGACCCTTTCTCAGCTTATAAAAGATTCCCTTTTGTTGCTGAAGTGACACGATGGAAAGGAATCGGTCTGAAATACCCCGAAGACTGGAGCGATGGACCAGGTTGGGGACAAATGACACTTCTGACTGTTTAATAGTAGCGCTCTTCTGTCCCTGTTACAACGATGCCTGCAGCTGGGTTAATTTTTCAAGCCGTCTGCTGATTCAATGTGCTTTATTGATTTTGTGTTGGCTTGAAATGTCAGGAGGCCACGAGGACAAATTTCATACCTGTGAGTTATGAGGAATAACACAGAGCCCTGCAAGCTTTAGGATAAATATGTTGCCAGTGCTGATATCACTGGAAAAGTATGATGCCTTGGGCACTGAGAAAATAATTAGGTGTAGAGCACCTCTGCAAAGAGTATCTCTGTTAAGGGAATAATTATTAGACTTCCCTGACTACTGCATTTCCCTGAGGTGGGGAGCAAACGCTCTTTCTTCTTCGCCTTGTAAATAAAGGGCAATCTGAGTATAAGGAACAAAACCACTCATGGAAAATGTGTTGCTTCAAGTACTGCCATTGGCAAATTCCCTTCCTCATTAGGCAGCGGGTGTTTCTGTGCAAGGAGAGGGCCTGGGGAGCACAAGACACGGCAGCCACGGGAGCTTCAGGCAAGATGAGGATGTGTCAGGAGGAGTTTGACGTCCCTCTGGCATTTCAGGCTATGAAATGCCAACTACGGAGTGACTTACCATTAGGACTCCTTTCAGGCTGTGAATGGCTGGGCTCATCTTCTGTTTTTTGTAGAGAGGTACCAGCTAAGCTGAGCAGCCTCAAAGATACGCACTTTGCTTATTAGTATTTGTATCCACCTGCTGTTTAAAATTGCACTTTAATAGTATCGATAGCTGACTCAGACCCTGCCTTGCCCATCCCTCCTTAACCCCTGCTTGCGTTAACCTTTGTTTCCCTCGAGTTGATATACCAGACTGTCCAGCTGTCTTGCTTGCTGGCAGAGAGCTGTCACGAGGATGTATTTCTCTCCCACCAGCATCCCTGCCCGCCTCTGTGCTCTCTCTGGTTTGGTGTCTTGTGAGTTCTCTCAGGGCAGGCGCCCCAGGGCTGTGCTGCGATGAGCTCAGTCCATGCATTTTGCATTACACACCAGAATAGGTCATTCAGTAGGTGGCATTAATCCCCTCATTCAGCATCGGTGCAATGCTCCGTGACATTTCTGATCATAACCTCATGGAGTTTGGGGAAGCATATTAGTGGCTTTCATAGGTGAGGTCCTGCTGTCTCTGGGTAACAAGCAGACCTCGTTTTCCTGTAACGAGCAGCGCTCCTTTTTTGTGTTTCCAACATATTCTACATCTTTTGACAAGGATCCCCACTGATCTCCCAAAGATTCATAAATAACTGAGCCCACAGCTCTGTGCGTCACGGCACAGCTCCTCTCTGCAAAACAAGTTGGTTGCTCCAGGCCACCTCTGGTCACCAAGCCTAAGGGCTGTCCCACTGGGGTTTCATGTCCATGTGTGCGGGCTGCTCAGGACCCCCAGGGTCACCTCCTGGGGCTCATAAACAAGCAGGTTTCGCTGTTTTGCTTTTCCTGTCTGTTTGCAGAAAGCTCTGTCAACTGTTTGAATTTTCCAGGTGATTTATGTTGTGTCACAGCGTTCTATTAAAATTGTTTTAAATATAATTTTTGGGCATACTTGATTTTTCCCTTTACGGCTTTGTGGTTTCACCTAAAGCCATTAGGCTGGCTTTAGGTCTGATTTGGTCCTGCCATATTCTGGCACAAGTTCTTCAAGTCAGAGAAGAGTTCCCAGTTTGCACCAGCAGTAACTTTGCCCTGAATCTGCAACAACTTATTGCCATTTTGAAAAGAAAGCAATGTTGTCTACATACCACTGGGACAGTCACAGAGAGGATATAAAGTGGTTTAGTTTGCCTTACCCAGTGGCTGGAGCCCTTTGCATTTGATATTTACCTTGTGAAGATCTCGGTGTGAATAAACCACATGAAGGTTATTCAGAAAGACACATTTTTTCCTGATGTTAGTAATGGGCTGGAAAAAGGGCTAATGGAGTGTTAGTAACACAGAGACCAGTCATCACGTTGCTATCTTCACAAAACTCATCTGTATGAAATGCTCATCTTTTTTACAGGTGTCATAAACAGTTTTCTCCTAAATAATATATCTCAGGGTTGAGATATATCTCTCAAGATATTTATATATATCTATAAAGTCATATCTCATATGCAAAATATATACAGCTGAAGTATCAAAGCTTAATTTGCCCACGTAAAGCTTAGTGTATCAATGTTTAGTGGTGCTGACGCCAATGAAAGGTAGAGAGAAAATGAGGTATTAGTTGTTTTGGATGTTCAGATTTTTTTGTTTCTGATTTGCTACAGACCAGAATAAAACGCACAACGGCATAGGTGAATCATTCTATGTGCTCTCTTTACACTCAGATTTTAAATGTATTTTTTTTTCCTTTAAAATAGTTTTTCAACTGCTGAGATGCACTGACACAAGTTTCAAATATATTTCACTCGCTCATTAAACAGAAGAAGAAGGACAACAAATGTCAAAGTGAAAATGTGCAGAGGATGGGGAGATGATTCAGCCTCCCTGATAGCTCTTTACCATGGCAATTTGCTTTATAAGTTGCAGATGTAACTTTTAGCAAAGCAGGGTCATTTCGGACCGTTTCTCCCCCGTGCCTTAGAGTCTCCATTGGTTGAAAAACTTTGCTGGGGCTGAATATCTAACCCGTGGTTAGTCATACAAACAAGAAGGCAGATTCTCACAGTTTTCTGTGCACCAAATTCAGATTAAGTGTGGCCACTTGCTCCCCGCACCCCACGGTCTTCTGCATTCAGCACCTACCCTGGAAATCTTTGAACTGTTGGAAGGATGGGGGACATGGCAGATGACTGCACATGTCAAATCTTGTTCCTTTTTGCACACACATAGGACCACTGAGCTCTTTTTCATGAGTCACAGCCTCAAGAGCTGATGTTGTGCCAGGGTGGTTCGACTCTGTGCTTCCCAAGCAAGTTATTGGGAACGTAGTACTATGTCTAATTTCCAGTGGCATCCACAGCTTTTTACACGTGTAGAAGTATGAGATGTGCTCTCAGAGACCGCTTGAGCTAGCAGAGCACAAGTGCTCCTAGAATGCATGTGGGGTGTGGGTGGACCAGGTTCGCTGTCTACTTTTTGGGGAAGGGTTGCCATTGACTGTGTGTACAGCACTGAAATAGCAGAGCATCAGCATTTCTGAGATAACACTTATCCAGTTATTGATTAATAAATGCTTAATATTGCAAGAAAGTGATCACAGATAAATATGTCCCTGGCATGTCCCTGCGGAACAGGTGTGTGTCTGTGGTGTGATTTCTGACTGTCCTAGAAGGTGCTAGGGAACAGTAAAGGATTCACTACCTTTTTTTTCAGCTCTTATTATACCACAGGATGTAGGTTCAGATCGCTGAAATTTGTGCCACCAGTCCCTCATACCAGTGAAAAACAAATCTGATTCTGCTCTGCTACCAGAGCACATCCCCGTCTCGAGATAAAGGATGTAAACTCACTCCCCAAAGCTGCTCTTAGGTAAGATTCCTGCACTGTATTCTTCTGCTGTCTCCTGAAATGTTCCTGATAGCTAGGTCCTTTCTACATCCATGCAGGGATTTAGCCCAGAAAAGCTGAATTCTGGGCCCGAAATTACCTGGACTTTCAGGGAAATGTGCTCCTGTTGATGTTTTTTTCCCCACCAAACTGCAATGAAGCTCTATTAATCCTGGCAAGCTTCTGAAACCGTTTTCCCAGCCCAAGTAGCACACGCTTGATTGGCATTTCTGAAGAAAAAAAAAAAAAGAAAAAAAAAGGGGATCTGAATGTGAAATCCTCATTTCTTTAGCGGCACCATTCACACGTAGGAGCTGCCAGATGGCTGTGCTCTCCTGGGCCAGCCCCATTGCGGGGAGCAGGGAAAGAGGCACGCGACGTGATGGCAACCATGGGCTCACTGGTGCGTGGGCCAGAGGAGGCGAGTCCCACCTCCTCCCCGCTTCAGAAACATGCTGTGGGCCAATGATTCCTTCCTCTGCATGTCAACCCCAGCTCTGGGCTGCAAGCAACAGTGAGTTTGTCAGTTCTCAGCAAGGTCTGGAGGGAGAGATGCCACACTGCATCGATGATCATAGAATCATAGAATGATTAGGGTTGGAAGGGACCTTAAAGATCACCGAGTTCCAACCCCCCTGCCCTGGGCAGGGACACCTCCCACCAGACCAGGTTGCTCAAAGCCCCATCCAGCCTGGCCTTGAACCCCTCCAGGGATGGGGCAGCCACAACTTCCCTGGACAACCTGTTCCAGTGTCTCACCACCCTCATAGTAAAAAATTTCTTCCTGAGATCTAATCTGAATCTTTTTTCTTCCAATTTAAAACCATTTCCTCTTGTCCTATCATTACACCTCCTGGCAAAGAGTCCCTCCCCAGCTCTTCTATAGGCACCCTTCAGGTATTGAAAGGCCGCTATAAGGTGGGCTTGGTGGAGCGAGGCTGTCAGAGCCTGGATTAGGAGAGGAGCAGCTGGAAGGGGTTGGTGGAGCAGGGGTAGGAGGATGCCCCGCTTATTTAACAGCTGCAAAAATTGCAAGGAGCTGGTTTCCCTCCTGTCAGACTCCAGGGAGCTCGTGGTGCCTCCTAAGACACTGGGGCTCAGTGCAGGGCTGGCACTGGAAAGGAAAGCAGGGCTGTTTCCTGGAGGCAGGAGGGGGTTTCAGGCTGGCCAGTGGGAGTTTTCAGGCTGCTGTGGGGAAATTTGCAGTGTCTAGTGTCTCATTCCCTGCCAAACAGATGAAGGTCATCAGCACGAACTCAGACACGGCTGTTTACATTTCGATCGATTAGAGAAATGAGATCCTTTTATTTTTTACCAGTCCCTGCTGTCTGCAAGTGAAGATACCAACTCCAGGCACACTCAAAGCGCCGCTGCCTTCGTCTCCTTGCTGCCCTCGCTATTTTTATCCTCCGTAAAGACGCTGCAATCAACTCCCTCTGCTACCTCTGATGGATAATTTAACACCAAACACTTAGACGGTTAGTGGTGCAGGGAGGCTTTTCTGCAGGCAGAGAGAAGCTGAACAGACGAAGGTTGCGCTGCGCTTCTGAAATCTCCCAAAAATAGCAATGTGGAAAGCCCACGGGGGGGAAAAACTCTCCAGGAGTGTCAAACACTGAAAGAGCCTGGTGGAAAGAGGGGTTCCCTAGAAAGGGGGCTATTCACCCGTTATACCCCAGCCCTGTGTCACCCTACAAAACAGGCTGGCTTCTCCGGCAGCCCAACAAAACGCGAGGCAGCTATTTAAATTGTTAACAAGTCAATCAAATCAGGCCATGCTTTTGGCTGCCTTTAGTTACACCCACTACTGTTGGACCAAAAAAGGAGTAAACAACTCTACTTTCCCCACTGTAGGGAAAACACGATTTCCTTGACAAAGCTCTCCTGGTATTAGAGGTCACTTGTTTTACTTTTTTTTCCACCACAGGCTCTACCTCTTGGTCAAGCCCCTGTGTTGGTGGAGGAATGGTGCTCATCGTATCCTGCAGAAGAGCATGTGTTCTGGTAGACTGTACTCTCTGTGACAGCTTCTGCTGACTGGAATAAGTCCTCATGCTAAGCTGTGCACACAGTTAATGTGGCAAAACTCCTCCTGAGTGGGCACAGATGTACTGGTATAATACATCTGTACTGGGATAGCTACTCCCAATAACTCTCCCTGTTTAAACATACAGTACAATTTCTGCACTAAAGAAGGTAGGCATGTAATTATATAGAGCGGTTGAAATGGGATTTGCCAGGCTACTGGGATGGATATTTATTCTTATATAGGTACAGAAATAAGTACAGGTCTGTTATTAATCTGTCCTATGTAGCAGACACAGTATGGACCCATATAGCTAGCAGTATGAACCATCCTACAACAGTTTGTTTCCTGGATACATCAATAAAAACCATACCTTGGCAAAAATAATTACGGCAGGACAAAGGCTGCCCATGCCCATGTCTGAACAGCTGTGTTGAAATAATTATGGCCAGAGGTGGGCTGGGATCCTCCTTCAGTCCAAAAGCTTTGTGGCTTTGAGATTTCAGTCATACCAATATGATAAAGGGAAAAACCTTTCTCTTATTTTGGGACATTTCACCAAGCTCCTCAGCTCATGTGAAGTCCACCTACATCAGCTAACAGTGTGGCTTGTCAGTGGGAAACCCTATGTAAACCTGAGGTGGATCACCATGGCAGTGTGAGAAGAAGACCCATACTGGATTCTCTGTCCTGATGCACTGGGAATAGTTTCTTGTCCCTGGTCCTTTGTGGGGTGTTAGCACAAGAGAGACACCATGGATTGTCCTCAGCATCGATGGGTGCCAGTATCAGGGCTATGGTAAACTTATTCCCTTTCTCTTGGGTATGCTGAGGGGCAGACATGTGGGACATAAGCATTAATGCTGAGCTGGAGCATCCATGTTCCACCCTGGCTTATCACTTTTATCTTACATTGATACGCTCCAGCCTTGAGGCATACAGGATCCGGCCTTTGCTAATATTTTGCTAGAGCCCAGCAACAGGACTTCTATTTTCTCTGGCAGGGCTCATTTCAAAGACTCCTGGTCCCCGGAGAGGCAGCTGACATTCTCTCTTTCTTCATTTCATCCTGCCAGCTGTCTTCTCATTTCTGTCTTTTAGACCTGTTTTTGTTCCTGGGCACAAATAGTTGCGCAGGTCAGCACAGAGCTTTCATTCAGCAGCAAGCTAAGTAATTTTTCAATGGCATAATGTTAGCCTATTTTAATCCCTGCATATATTCACTCCCCTATAACCTGGATACGTTTAATTTAATGGCAGCAGTGAGTCACATCGAGAAAATAAATGGCAGAAGAGGTACGAAAAAAAGCATCCCAAACCTTTAAACCTTTTCTTTCAGCTTTCTTAGGGAGATTTTGCAAAGCGGATGGAGGATGCAGAAATATACTTTACACTGTATCGCCTTGGTGACTTTTCCAGGCCAGCAGAGATGTTCCTCAGTACCAACTATTTCAGTTCCTGGCTCAGCCACAGACGTCACTGTAAAGATAAATTTTCTACCATTTGCTGGGAGTTGCTAACGTGGGGAATAAGAAGTTGCAGAATGAAACCTTGTGTCTCCCAAACCACCAGGGAATGCGCAATGCTTCTTATAGTCTTTGGTGGTTCACCAATGCCAATATGTTTTCCCAGTATGAATGTCAACCAAAAAAGCCTTCTTCTTGGCTAAAAACACTCCTTCCAGGGCCATCTCCCTCTCTGCTACCTCAAAGTCCCAATTAGAACTGCGGGAAAAAGCCTCCTCTCCCTTCCCTTTGCTTGCAGCCGTGTCTTTGTGGAGCAGGTGGAATTGCTGTTTCGTAGGTAGCAGTGCCCTGGGGCTTCGTTTTGTGAATCGCACTACAGCAGCCACCTCTTCTTATCTGCCAATCAAGGTATTCTCTGACTAGTCATTTTATAATCTACCATAGAATACTTTACAATCTACGGTAGGGTAGACTTTTGCCAAGATATTTCATGGTTAATTCAGAGCAAATGCACGCTAAGCTCATTTAATCTAGCATGCGGTTTCCAAAACTTCCTGTCCTCTCTGTGTCCTCCGTTTCCAAAAATTGCAGCTCTTCCTCCTGCAGCTCGGGTGCTAAGAGGACTTAATTTCATTCTTCTACTTTTTCTTCTTTAACTGAAAGTTGCTACCAGCTTCTCCTAAGACAAGGGCAAAGTCGTGATGGACTTCAGCAGGTGAAAGGCTGGCTTTTTAGCTACTGCGTTCATCTGCTAGAAATGAGAAGAACAGTCTCACCTCCATGGGACACCAGGCCACCTTTGAAATACATTATCCACCGTAAAAACGAGGCGGTCCGGCAGCACAGCTGCGGGCAGACCACTCGCTCAACGACAGATCGAGTTACCAGAAATCAGATTTTTGCATTAACAGACTTGCCCCCGAGCGTGGCCAAGTTGTTGAGAAGGATTTAAACATTAGACCCCAGTGATGCTGGGAAAAGAATCATGTTGTGAAAATCACATTGTTGTGCCAAATAAACTTGCTCGGTGCCAGCAAGTGAGAAAGCCACATCAGAGGGCTTGGTTGCTGCAAATATCATGTCATTGGGGTGCATTTTTATGTCCTCCACGGTTGGGAGAGTTTTGCAAGAGTTCTGATAGCAGCATTGGAGATTGGAGCACCTCCCTTATGAGAAAAGGCTCAAAGAGCTGGGGCTCTTTAGCCTGGAGAAGAGAAGGCTGAGGGGAGACCTTATCTACATTTACAAGTATCTAAAGGGTGGGTTGAAGGAGATTGGAGCCGGACTCTTTTCAGTGGTTTCCAGTGTTAGGCTGAGGGGCAACGGGCTCAATCTGGAACATAGGAAGTTCCATTCAAATACGAGGAAAAACTTCTTTACAGTGAGGGTGATGGAGCCCTGGAACAGGCTGCCCAGGGAGGTCGTGGAGTCCCCTTCTCTGGAGATTTTCAAGACCTGCTTGGTGCAGGCCTGAGTGATGTGCTCTGGGCAATCCTGCTTTAGCAGGGGAGTTGGACTAAATGATCTCCAGCGGTCCCTTCCAACTCCAACAATTCCATGATTCTGTGATTTAGTTGGACACAGCTCCTACAGCGCTGGTCCCCATGGGCAGCCTGTGCTTTCCTGGGATGCCTCTCCTACTGCTGGACGGGACCACAACTCCACGAGCATCATGGCTGAGGGTTCAACTCAATGCATCTTAATACCAACAAGAGGAGCAAAGCTTCAGAGATGTGTATTTCCTTCATTGCCGTTGAGCAGTAAAATCACTCAAGCCCTTCATGTACGTATGGGATTGACCCAGTGGCATCAGCAACTGTGCTCAACTGGTCCCATCCATCCCCACCTGCTGCATTAGTCACACAACGTGCCTCCATGGTGGGGTAAGCCCCAGTGTCAAAGGCCTGGGCTGCAGCTGCTGCAGACCCAGATGCCCCAAGATCTCAGGTATCAGCCAGGGATTTCGTCGAGGTAAAGAGATACGTTGACTGAATTCCTTTGTCCCCTTGTTCCTCCCTTTTGTTCTGTTGGTATTTCTTCTTCCCCATGCTTTGAGGAAGCTTCTGCTTTGTGGGAGACCCATAGGACATAGAGCAGACAAATCGGCAGCGAATGGCCCAGAATTTGATGAGACCACCATTATTTTGCACATTATTGCTGCCAGGGAGGAGTGAAATGTGTGGGAATGGCGAGCCCACAGCAGGGGGCAGTGCTCTATGGAAAATCCATTTACAGGCCTTCAGACATTTTGAGCATGGGAATTGTGAAATTACAGAGCCAGACACGGCAACCCCGAGTTTCTTTAACATGCCTCTTATTCCCTGGCCAAGAAGCAGCACTTGCAATGAGGAGGGCTTGTGGCCAACCGACATGGCACGACGCAGGTTTTGTGTCTGTCTCAAACAAGTGCTTGATTTTGAGGTGAAAGAAAATTATCAGGAGACGTTTCAGTGTTTAAACCCATGGATGTATTTTTCCAGATGCCTCTGGTGTCTCCTTGGGCCATTTCTAAGAAAGGAAACTCAAGTGACCAAGGCACCTCCACAGCACCCTGAAGGTGGAGCCCTCAGCAACCTGCCTGCCTTTATCAACCATTGCTTCAGGAATCACATGCTACCCCAAGAAGGGCCATTTTTAATTAAAACTGGAAACTATTGCCAGCCCTTCCACTCGACTCCGGCGTCAGCCCTTTTCCTGTGTTTACTGCAGGCACATCCTGCCCGGAGCTCTATCCAAACACAACAGCATCTTGCAAATAAACACTCAGCGGTAAGGTCCAGGCCTTCCCTCCTCCTTGTTTGCAGATGGCCACCCCACCACCCCGTCCCGGCTTGCGATGGCCGTGACGTGGGGAGGGAGCAAGGAAAGGTGGCCTTGGCGAGCTGAGCTACAGCTCACTCCGACAATTTAAGCAAACTCAGGGCTTTGTTGAAGGTCTGCTGCTGCCATTTAGGGTAGAAAATGGTCGTTTGCTTATCATTTTGGACTGTGTTGCCACCAGGGAGCTCAGCTGGAGGTGGTAAGGAGCTCTCCATCCGCCTTGCTCTCCTGCTCCTCTTACCTGCCTCCACCAAGATGTCAAGGGGACACCTCATGTGAACCTCCGCTGTGCTTCCTGCAAGTGTCAGGGCAGTGAGAAGATTTTCCTAGCTAATCAATATCTATTTACTTGCTTAGATTTGTAATAGGTGCAAGAGAGTGAGATTGCTCTTGCTGATCCCTCCCTTCCCACCCAGGACACGTGGACCTCCACTCCCTCCCCTATTGATGACATCTCCATGGAAACCACAGAAGTGGTGTTCAGGGTAGAAAGGGTTTGAAAAGGATTGCAAGCGCTTGGAGAAGCCTTTCACACCATAGGCTTTGTCCTCGACATCCCCAGAGGCCCCACGGATGTCTGAAGCCACCAGGAGAAGCACAGTGGATCTGCCCAAGCCAGGGGACCTTCGTCTTTTAGGGGCCACACAGTGTTTTGCTTTCTGTTTTCGTGATCTCTGCTCTCTGGTTTATCCTCTGATCCCTTTCTCCTCCTCTCTCTGACGTGCCTCTCTGGCTTTCCCAAGCACCATGCCAAGACACTAATTACATTCCTCGTGCTCCTGCGTTTCCATTAATGGCTGAGGACTTGGACCCGTTCCTCCTTCCTCCTCCTGCTGTACCTGTCCCCGGCCCAGGGGACGGTCCTGCCTCAGGGCAAAGACCCAGCACTGAGGGTGCCCCGTGGGACAGGGCAGGTCTCCAAAATCCAAGTGAGAGGAGAGGAGATGGCCTGTAGTGTTCCCAAACACACATTTGAAGGGTGGGACACAGTCACCCCAAGGTTACACAGGTTCAAAAAGCAATTAGACAAACTCACTGAAGGCAAATATGCCCAGGGCTACTAAACACACAGGCCTCACCTCTGAACCAGGACGTCCCTCAGCTGCAGGTCGGGGGAAGGAGCACGTATTTTTGCTCTGTTCTTAGCTCTTCCCTGTGGTGCACCAGCAATTGCTCTGCAAAGGAGAAAAGCCACGTGAGACCATTAATTCTCTTCCACTGGAATTTCAACATTTCCCCTGCCCGTACCCCGACTTCCTTGCTTCCACATTTCCAAAACCAGGGAGCTAACCTTCCACAGGGAGCAAGGGTCTGGCTTCACCTTGCAAATGGCGTTACCAAGGAGGCAACAGCTTCACTGACAAGAGAGCACATGCTGTCTCTCCTTCTGCCCACAGGCGCATCATCTGGGCACCAGCCATCCTCCTGCTCCACCAGTCGTATCCCAAAGGGCGCATTTGAGCATCGACAGCGCCGCGCTGGAAGCTGTGGAGGACTTGACGGGAAGCTCCCCCAGGCAATCTCAGCCCTCAGCCTGTTGCTGTTCATCCAAGAGATGCTCTCCTCGCCACCCACCATCTTGCCTGTGTGCATCCTCTCTCCTTTGGAGGCTGGGACCCTGCCCCATATCCAGACTATCTCCTCCGGCTACCATGTCCCAACCAGCCTTGGGGTGCCGTGGGCTTCCCGTGCCTCCCCTTGACTGCGCACCCTCAGAGGAGCAGATCCGGGTCCCAAACCGTGTCTATAGAGGGGAGGGGGCAGCCCTGGGAGAGGTCTCACTGCATCACACCAGTCCCCCAAGACAAGCTGCACCAGATCCGTTTAAAGGGATCGTCTCCCGCAGGCAGCGCAGCATCGCTCCCAGCAAAGGCTGGGGAAGCTCCTGTGCAAAGCTGACCTCATTTACAGCTTTCGGTGCTATTCTGGTAGTTTTGGGTGTAGCGAAAAGGAACCTGGCATCTATCCTCATTTAATACCCATCTCAGCCTGACTTTGAAATGTCCTACTGAAAGTACAGCCAAGGGAAACTCTTTTTTTTTTTTTTTTTTTTTAACAGACAAAACAGCCAAAGGGGGAGTAAAAAGCAGGGAAGAGGGAGCAGGAAAGAAGCAAACAGACAGCAGCCAAGGATTTGGGGGCTGCAAACAGCTTCATGAATAATATTATCCCCTGGAAATCAAGCGGCTGGAAACACTCGGTTGACCCAATATGCAAATCTGTCCCCGGGAAGGGAGAGGGCAGATGGGATTTCTTGTGCCCGGTGCTGGGCTGTTGCAGAGGGGGAGGTGAGCCTTTTTTGGCTGGGCACGGCCAGAGCCTCTTTGGCATGGCCGGAGGTCTCTGTGTGTGCCAGCTTGGGGGAGGCTACTACAAATGAGGCCAGGCTGTTTTGGTGAAAATTGGACGGGTGCCTTGAGGAGGAAGGAGACGCACGCGGGTGCTGGGGGGCCACCACTGGCCCCCAGGAGCTCAGCCCACCTTGCAGGGGAAGCTCCCGTGCACCCATGGATAGATGTGAGTGTGGATGGGGGCAGACAGGGACCCCTTGTAGCCCCACCTGGGGGATGTGGACCTTTCTCCAGGAATAGCAAGGCACCTCTAAGCCTGCAGCGTGGCTGCTGCTGGTGCCGTGCCACCAGCACATGAAAGGCGGGTGCTCTGCTCCCTCCACCCTGCCAGGGCAGCTCCGACCAGCCCCGTCGGGAACGCGCTGCAGCAAACACACCTCTGTTTACACAGCATCTGGGAATAACGCCCCTGACATCGCACCGAGGGAGGTGACAGATCCTGGCGAATGCAAAGGGCGTTTGCTCGCCCTTACCCTTGTCAGCCCATGGCACGGAGGGACCTTTGCTGTGTCCCTCTTGCTGGTTGACGTGCTGCTTACTGGGGGATGTGGCTGGTGGCTCTTGGCACCCCTGTTCCCAGGAACCCAACCAGATCGCTGAGACAAGGGCTGTTTGTTTTTATCAGGTGGTTTCTCAGAGCATTTCCATGTGTGCTAGGCTTGGTTTTCATAGAATCATAGAATCATATGGGGTTGGAAGGGACCTCTGGAGATCATCTAGTCCAACCCTCCCACCAGAGCGTGTCTACCTAGAGCACGTTGCACAGGAACTTGTCCAGGTGGGTTTGGAATGTGTCCAGAGAAGGAGACTCCACCACCTCCCTGGGCAGCCTGTTCCAGGGCTCTGCCACTCTCACACTAAAGAAGTTCCTCCTCGTGTTTAGGTGGAACTTATACTCAAGGCAGAGAGGTCCAACATCAGAGTGACTTTTGTAACTAGAAGTAATTGGGTTCCAACAATGCATAAAATATCACTAGATATTTTCTCGTTGCCAATGCACACACGAGGGCTTACCTGTGTACCACATTCTCAGGGCACAGCGTTTTACAGCTAGTTTTTTACACCTAACTGGTGTCAGTCAGTGATGCACAGGGACTGGCGTGCTGGCCTGGCACAGTAGGTAAAAACCACCTTAAATGTGTCCTGGCAGAGGTGTTTGCACAAAACTGTCATTTTGGCCCTCAGAGTGCAGATACTTGTGGTCATATCACGGTCTGTTCAATGCTCTCGCTGTGCTATTGCAGCTCCCTCCCAGGGGTCGGGCTGCTCCCAACGGCTCATCACACTCAGAAGACTTTTTCTTCATTTCTTACAGGAACATTCTTCTCTTCTCACGGCTTTATTTTGACTTCTTCCCTTTTTCCCTCTGTGGATAACTTTGTAAACTTTTTTATATGGAGTTTTTTGCCCCTCTTCCATGTGATGCGTCATTGCGTGTTCTGCACTTTCCAGGATTGTTTTGGGGGTTACCCTCCGTGTATGTTATAGTGGGTCCACCAAGATGCAAATAACTCAGAGCATTTCTTCAGCATCGGCAGCCCTTTAAGGCATTTGGCAGAGGAGTGTTACTGAGATAGCTACGGAGTGGTGATACATCTTGTCAGTCTCACATGAGATGCCAGGACATTGAACTTGAGCACAAGGTGCTGGTGCTGAAATTAAAACTAATTGCTGTAGCACACCAGTGCCTGGAATAAGGCTGATAAAGCTGAGGCCTGCAGAGACCATCATCAGATTGGCAGTTTGCTGGGGTGCAGCTCAGTGACCTCTCTCCGGACGGAGCTGCAGTTGCTTCATTCCTCCTTCAGCACAAGGAGCAATTGCAAAACTTTTAAAGACTGAGGGCTGATCACTGCATCCTGGTTCACTCTTCAGCACGTCTGTGCAAATAGCAGGGATTTTGAAGGCTGAATCCCTCAATGGCTCTCTTGGATGCATCTTGCTGAGGTACCTGTGGGGCCGAGTCCACAACGCTTGTGTTGCCTGGTGTAGAGCTGCAGTGGGGAGGTTCAACGCTCTGACCAGAGCCGCTGCCCTCTGGTCTGCAAATTCCCATGTGCAAAACCCATCCCTTAAGCTACAGAGAGTTGGGCATGAGCTCCTTTCTTTGACTGTTCAATAGGGTTGTCCTTCATTTATCTAGGATGGACTTTTTAATTTTAATCACTGGCCACGCAGCTGAGCCTGAAGGCTCTGTTGTGCTAGGTTAAATGGAAAAGGTTCTCAATAATTGCAGTGAAATTGCTGATAAGAAGGTCAGTTTTAACACAAGTTTCAATTTTAACCACACCTGCTTTGAAGCCTGACGGACACAAAAGGGAACCAAGCCTGTTTGAGATCAGGTGTGAATTCTGCACTGTGGTAGGACAAACAAATGGCAGAGCTCAGGATCCTCAGGTGCAACCAAGGTTTGGTTCTCTTGATTCCTGCAGGGAAGAAGCTGAAAATCTGTCTCTGGGCTTTGGAGTGCAGGTGTTGCTGACCCAGGGAATGTTTGCCTGGATGTAGCTGTGTGGAATGGGTCCGTGTGAGGTTTGTAGCACAGGCCACAAGGCCAGAAGCAACTGACCTCCTGTATGACCATTCCACGTGCCTCCTCTGAATTTGGGGCAGGTTTATAACTCCATCAAATTAACTACCCCAGGACAGAGATCTCCAAACCCAGACATACTTCTAGTGATGTATGGGATAGCTGTTGATGGAAGGGGTGTTTTTTCCGCTGTTTTCTCCCCTTGCTGCTTCCACTTTTGTGCCAGCAGAGTGAGGAGGTTAAAGGAGATGGACAATCAGAAAACTAATCCCACAAGGAAAAGGAGGATAGTGGGCTTATTCCTCCACAAAGCTGGAGAAGCCCTAGTTCTTCATTGTAGGGGAGGGGAAGTGGGACCACCGTTTTCAGCTCTGCAGCCAGCTTAACTGTATTGTCCTGGGGCTTTCCTTTAATTTTTATTGCTTTACCACCCCACCCCCCTGCCCCCGACAAGGACATTCCTGTCATTTTATGCATGACACCAAAATACAGAAAGGCAGTTTCCACAAAGCAAAAGACAGGTAGCATCAAATGACTTTAGAAAACAGAATAGGATTTTTAGAACATGTGCTGTGATAGGAATCTTCTTCACCTGCTATTGGGAAGAAGATACTTCAGCAGCTGTGGATATAAATAGCACTTATCAGGCAGTGGAAAGGAAACAAAGGTTTGGATAATTAGAAGAAGAAATGTCTAGAGGAAGATGAATTTTTTTAAAGGGCAAATAAATCAGCTCCTGTGCAGCTGGTGGAGGAAGGAGGTGCCTGACAGCATGGTACCAAATAGCCGGGTCTGAGAAGGGTCATTGGGAAAAGTCAAGCAGGGGCAGCAACTGGAAACTTGTGCATCTATTGGACCAAAAATATCAGAAGCAAAGGAAGATGATTGTGACTTTAATAACTAAGCTAGGATTTCTCTGATGCAGGGGCAAGAGTCTGAACCTCTCTCAGCTAAAGTCTATGGTGACATCGCTATTTATTTTGACAAACAGCATTTTTCTTGTACCTTCACCTTCCAGAGAAAAGCAGCAGATAATATGAAAACCTAATTTCTCTGATGAAAGTACTTCCTTTTGATTTCTTAATTTGAAAGAAAGATCTTGGGAGTGACTGCAATGCCAGCAACCCTCTGCAATGTGCAAAGCCCCTTGCTGTCAGCAGGCTTGTGCTGAAGATGAGGTTGGGAGGAGGGCAGGGTGCCGGTGCAGGGGTGCTGGAGAGGTGCTGTGCTGCATCCTTTCAGTAAAATGGGTTTGAGTGCCTGGGCCAAAAAGAAAGTTCACGTGAACAGGCAGAGGGGCGTGAAACCAGTGGAGCTACGCTCATGTAAATCGACTGTGGCCCAGGTTATTAATTATGCATAAAGCTCATGATGAGTCATTTGTTTGACTGTGTTCAGATTGACTGGACTTAACTCAGTTCTACCAGTTTTGCCCCTGTTGAAAAAGGGGCCAGGAAATATTTTACTGGAAAAAGGGAAAGGTGGAAATGCATAGCTCTCACTCAAACAGTGTGAGGTTGGTTTACTACATGCAGGCTTACATTTGGCTTACATGCTGCTCAGATAAACGGCGTGCAGTGCTGGAAATGTTAGCAAGGTCACCCAAGGGTGCTGAAAGGCACTGGAAGGACCTAATGCTGCAGAGCCAGGCTGTCACCTCTGCTGTGGCTGCAGCCCGGGGGTAGGGATGTCTGTGCTCCAGCTGCGCTGGGGATTCACTGCAGTGCCCGTGTGTGCTGCTCCTCAGCGAGGGAAACGGCAAGATAACTGCATGGATTACTTAGCTGCTAATACACCTCTTGCGATGAAAATTGGGGGAGTGAAATGGCGTTGATCATGTGAGAGCGAATGAGCAAAATGCAAATATCTCAGTTTGCATCAGGCTCTGGAAAAAAAAAACCTCATACGTTCAGGGCCAAGACAGCAGCGGGATTGTTGGTCACTTAGCTCTGTCCTGGTTTGACGAAAACAATTTACTTCCAGCTTCTCTGGTTTTAGTGACAATGAAGGACAAATTGCAGCTGCATCATGTAAAAAAGGATTACTTAACCATGCTACAGTTTGTTTTGCATTAACTGTTGGGAGGCTGGTGCTAAGTCTCCCAGACTCTGGTGGGTTTTGAAATCCCACAGCACAAGTAACACGAGGGAAATACAGTTTCCCTGAGACATGGTGTGAAAGCACTTTTAATTTCTTAACACGTCTTTCCCCCTCCTCTCTGACCCTGCCATACTTGACATATCAGGGCCAAGACAAAACCAGCAAATAACAGTGAAGTGTATCTCAAATCTTAATAAAGGTGGGTTTTTAAGAAGTGATGCTGGTGGTGGGCTTTTAAATGTGAGTTGTGCTCCGGTCCATCCCTGTCCCTTTGGAAAGCCCACCCCACATCCTGCCCGTGCCTCAACAATCAGCCCTGTCTGTTTTTTCTCCCCCATAGAACCAGGATTGTACTTTTCTGGAGCTGGGGATGCTGCCATCTGCGTTGTGTAACGGTGGGCACGTTGTTCCCACTCGGCCAGCAATCACCACGCCGAGCCCTCAGCCTTGGCTCCCTGCCACCCACGCCTGACGTGCACTGCGGAAAACGCCGGGGATCTCAGGGTTAAGATAAATTATGATCCCTTTTTTTAGTAAGGCAAACAATCGTGGGGCTGCGGTGCCCGGGAAAAGCTCTGCCTCTTTCCATGATGAGTGCTCAGGCAGCGCTCAGGCGTGCCAGGCATTTTTTCCTTTTCTGAACTAGAAACTACTCTGTGGAAGCAAACTTGAAGAGCAGAAGGAAACTCTGCATTTCTTTGTATAAAATTCCACATGAAAAGTGCTCACTGGTGTCATCGCATCTTGAAGTCTGCTCTGAACTGGACTTCAAAAGCCACAATTCTTGCGGGAGGCTGGACCCTCAGTGGGGTGAAGGCTTCAAAAGGAAGAGCTGAGCCCCTCACTCTTGCCCTGTGCCAACAGCCAGAGGCAGCTGACACTAGAAACATCCTGCTCTCCTTCTTTGGTTCCTGACTCTGGGGCCTGTGGGAATGGTTGAAATGCTGCTATGTTTAGTGACATTTTTATGTGTGTTTGGTTTTGATCAGCATTGGTCCTTTTAGAGAACCTGTCCAGCTAACAGCTTCCACAAGCCCACGCTGCAGCCATGCTGCTTGTTGGTACCAGGCTGGTCCCAATAATCCCAAATCAGCTGCCAAAGTTTACAGTCCACCCTGCCCCTCAGCTACTTTTTTTCCTCAAAGTAGACCACCAGGGGAAGGCTTCCTCTCCTCTCCTCTCCTCTCCTCTGCAGTGGCTAAAAGACTCTACTGTTTTTTACAAATTTTTTCCCCCTTCTTTCTTGTTTTGTTTGTTTGGGATTTTATTAGACCATCTCTCTCCTTTTCAACTCCTCTCCCTCTCCCTCTCCCTCTCCCTCTCCCTCTCCTCTGTCATTAACTTAATCCATCACCAAAAAATCTGGGAAATTAAGCATGGTTTGCAGATCTGAGATACCAAGGGAAGGGTGATCCCACCCTATCTAAGCACATACCAAGGGGCAATGTGTCTCTGTTCCCAGGGAGGGCACTGGGATCCAATGGGATGTGTTTGATGTCTTAAGCCCACCTGAAAGCTGATCTGTTCGGATCCCATCCAAGGACGGTGCCTACCAAGAGCACCAGCTGAGGACTTTTCACAAGATAACATTATTGATCCTGCTCTGGCTTCTCTAGCAGCTTTTGACTGCTCTTCTCACTGTTCATCAATGGACATCAGTGAAGATATTCTAAAGCTTCCAACCTCCTCCAGGTGTGCACAGACAAATAACTGTCCCTGAAGATGTGGGGCTAGTCAACACCCACCACTACTCTGAGTAAGGGCCTCCAGATGGACTGGCATCAGCAGTTTGTGTCCTGGCATCACCCTGAGCTCCATCCTGAACATATATGGAAATCTGGGAGGCCAAAAAGGCAAATACACCAAGGGAAATCAGAAATGCTGGGGAAGCCACAGGGGCTTTACCAAGGAGTTCAGCTCCAATTTAGTGTAAAATTCACAGGCCTTGATTGCAGTAACAAGGACTGCAATTTTGCCTGGGTCTGCGCATCTGACACCTCCTCTAGGCACACCCGGGTGAGAAGAGCTAATGAGGTCCAGACTGATCCGAGCTGGAAGGAACACACAGTCTGCTTCTCAGAAGGATTAAGAATTAAAGAGCCACTGTCAGGTCCCATAAGTGTAAGCACGAGGTACAAAACCCAGCAGCCCTGAGCTGCTGATGCCGAAAAAGCTCATTGAATTCTTCAAGGCAGGATGCAAAGGGCATCAATCCAGCAGCGTCTGCAGAACAAGACCTGGCACTGTGTCAGAAGGAGGGGCCATGCCGGGCAGGTTCTCGCAACAGGTTGAAAGTGCAGTGATCACCAGAGGTGGATTAGCATCTATTTACCAATGGGGCAACTTCAACCTGAATATCCTGGTGCCCTACTGTTCTCTGAACATACAGCTTCTTTGTATTAATCTGGTCCAAAGCGCATCTTGGAACAGCTCATCCCAGGCAGTAGCGTGTCCACCAGTAGGTAGCAGAGGAGCAGGGGTGGTTTTGGAGAACTCATGCCAGCTGTGGTCCACTGGTGTCCTGTGTCACCCTGCTCTGAACCCGGACATCTGAGTCATGGTCCCACTTCCCTGCTGGTCCAGGAGGGTTTGAATCAGATCACAACAGTGTGAATCAGGACTGGAATGAGCCCTTCAACTGAGTGTCACGAGGCTCTGAATCAGGTCATGAAACAGTCCTTCCTCCCTAGACATGGAGGGGCTGAATCAAGGTCTGAGCTGATACTTGTTGCTCCAGAGCAGAGGGCATTAACAGAGCATGACTGTGAGTAGCCTTGGCTGGCAGAGTGAGAAGGGAAAGATCCTAATTGCATGGTTTGATTAAAACCTGCCTGGTTGGTCTCATTCTCATCCAGTTTGCCATAATGTCACAGGCCCTTTGAAGTGGAGAAAAGAGGGAGGAATAGAAAGAGGAGTATTCTTGAACAGTAATGATGATAGTTTTGGAGAGAGGGCATTAAATAGGACACTTCCAATCTCCTCACAGGGATGTCCTGATCCCAGAGAGTGTATCTAGTAGCCTTCAGCCCACTACAGAGCCGCTTACCTCATTGCCCCTACATTTAATGCAGAGGAGCACAGGTTGTGCAGACTGTTATTTAGGTTTCAGAGATTCCTGCCTAGAGGTGGGAGCTCCTCTGCACCAGACAGAGCATGGTCACTACCAGGAGAACTCTGAAAAACACCAAATCCAGATGGGCAACGGTGCAGGAAAGGAGGTACCATCCCTATTTTTGCAGAAGGGAGATTGATTTTATACAAAGTCACCCGAGGGCACAGCGTGGCCAGCACAGCTTCAAAGCTCATCTTTTCTTACTGCTTTTGAAGCTTTGATCTGCTGATACAAGCCTTCCCCTCCACCAGGGAACAACGGGTGCTTTCTTCAGCTTTACACCTTTTTGCACACATTCACTTTCATGCTTCAATTCATCGACTTGTTAGTGATGGGAGCAATTAAAGTGGGCTGCACGTGCTTTTCTGCGCTCCTTACCTTTATTGTTCTCCTTGACACTAATAGTGCTCTCTGGCTGGGATGGCAATGTGACACTTATTGTCATCTGAGAACAGAGTTGACAAGACTTATTTTCTTCCAGCCAGCACCAAGGTAGCATTTCTCAATCTTCAGCTGTATCTAAGCGCTGTTGCAGTGGAGTCTTTCTGTAGGGTGAGCCATCCGGGGGCCTGGTTTCCTGCAAGAGAAGATGGAGGCAAAAGGAAAAGCTCTTTAGAAGTGTGGGCCAAGTCCATCTGTGTGTGCAGCTCTCTGGTTTCAGGGTGTGTATGGGACAGGACAAGGTGGACAGCCGGTGTCCCACTGCTGACAACTGTGAGACACAAAAGGAAAAGCTCTTTAGAAGTGTGGGCCAGGTCCATCTGTGTGTGCAGCTCTCTGGTTTTGGGGTGTGTATGGGAAAGGACAAGGTGGACAGCCAGTGTCCCACTGCTGACAGCTGTGAGACACAAGTAGATGAGCTGGGATTGCCTGAATTTTTTTCTCTCTACCTTGGCATCTGCAAATGCAACAGCCTGGGTGCCCACTGCCAGCTTCTGGAGTCAAGGCAGAAGATATGAGCTGGGATTGCCTGAATTTTTTTCTCTCTACCTTGGCAGCTGCAAATGTGACAGCCTGGGTGCCTGCTGCCAGCTTCTGGAGTCAAGGCAGAAGACGTAGGATCACATTTAGAGAAGGAGGACAGAGAATGGTGTTTCTTAGGGCTGCTTTAGTAGAAGACATGTTGTGGTTGGAGAGAAGGCTGACTAATATCTGGCAGGAATGAAAGGATATTTTGAGCAATCTGTGTAACCTTCTGTTTCCTTAACTCTTTTCCTACAGTATTCCCTCCTTCCATTACTTGCAGCTGTTGTATCACGTACCTACTTCGGAGCTGCTTTAGCGCCCATGGGAATCCTTCTGCTGACTTGAGACAGTCAAGTCCCTTCAGAAGGGACTTCTCATCTGCCTCTGTGGTTCGTAGGAGAAGTGTCATGCTAGGCTTGGGCCAGCAGCCGATGATCAGGGCACAAGTAATGAATTACAAGTGAAATAATAATAAATAAGTGGGATCTGCACCCACAGAGCTAAACACAGACCAAAGTAAGCTGCTGAAACAAGCGGAGCCCACCAAGCCAGTTCAGGCTATTGCAATGGAGTGCAATCATAGAATCATAGATTCATTTAGGTTGGAAAAGATCTTTAAGATCATTGAGTCCAACTGTAAGCCTAACATTGCCAAGCCCACTCCTAAACCATGTCCATTACGACCAGCAGTGAAAATCAGCTGTATTTTCCAATTCCCAAATCCTATAACTCTTCCAGCTACTACCTTGGAGTGCCTGATTTACCCACAGGGAAGTATTCTGCTTGTTTAATAGTAGATGATGTCTAATTTGAGTCTTTCCTAAATGGTGTGTCTATAAGGAAAACATCATTCCACGATCTTCATTTGCCTGGCTTTTCTCTATAGGTCAACTCAGGAATACTTAATAAGTTTTGAACACTTACTTTTGAGGGCTTACAGAGAAAGATAAGGCTAAAACTGAAGAAGATCCTTCCTACAGACTGACATTAAATCTAACAGGTATCTCCAGTATTCTACTGTTTCAAGAAAATGTTATGATAAGGGGGACAAACGGGAACACTCATAGACATGCACAGGATCCCAGGCAGAGCCAGCAGGAATGAGAAGTGCCTCTCATTGCTTACGTGTGGGCTTACAATGCATGTGCATAGGACAGATACTGCTTTTAGTTTTGCTGGGCTAAAATGTACAAACTGGGATGCAATTAATGTAGTGATTATTGAAATGCCTCTGGGGTAAAACAGCTGTCACGCAAGGCCCGTTCCACATGGCTGATGCCTTTCTGCTGTCTCTAACAAGCATTTGGAGCAGCTTAAATACAGGGCTCAAGCCTACAAACATTTTGCTGTTGGCACAGTGTTTCTGACCCCTTTGCTGAGGTTGGGCAGCACCTTTCCATGCCAGTTTTGCTTAACATGCCCAGGAAATGCAGCAGTGCCCATGGCTGTGGGTGCTGCTGGGATGCTTACAGGGAGCCAGCCACTCCCTGACCCCAAGAGGGGCAGCTTCTATTCCTGGTTTATGTCCCCAGCACTCAACTAATGCCAGGTTGATGCCTTATGACGTGCATCATGGTGGCATTGAACAGCATGGAAACATCAGCGCAGGAGCTCAGGTTGGGTGGGAGCGTGGTGACCCACATGCTGACTGGTGGGAGCTTTGGAGATGAGCGAGAGCACCCAGGGACAGTCATCTACACGAGCTACATCACTGGAAGAACAAAATAAAACTGGTTTCCACCACTTGTCCACCCATCAACCCTTTGCCATGTCAGTGACTGGTTGTGCCACCAGTGGAATTAACAATCCGTATTTAGGTTGCTGTTCATAGAGGGATTTGGTACCTCAATTTAATTGGCAAGTTACAACTGGAGGCAACTTCCCAGTCTGGAAAACGCCTTTGAGTTTAATGGCAGCAGGCAACAATTGGGATGGATTTTTGCTTTTGTTTTGTTGTAATCCTGTAGTATTGTCCAAGTGCTAAGTGCTGGTAAGAAAAATAATCTTTCTAGTTTCCAAAAAGATGGCTGGTGGGAGTGTGACAACATTTGTTTGCTTCCAAAGAATCCCAACAGAGGAGGGCTGGGAGAGCAGGAGGAGGAGGGGGACGCTGCTTGCATCTCAGCAGCATTTGCAGCTCTGACAAGAGCTATGGGTCTGGAGGCTTCAAGGTGTGGAGGTACTGCTGCTCGAGGCCAGGAGGAACCCCCAGCTCTCGTGATAAGCAACACAGCAGGCGACACGTGGGGAGGGATGGAGCACCTGGCACAGGCTGTTGTGGTGGAGAGGACCAGCTCCTCCCTGCTTCTGAAGGGGCAGCAGCTCTGACCAGCATGTGTCCACGGGGCTACCAGCTGTGGCTGTGGTCACCCTGGATTTCATTCACTCTTATTTACCTGTTGGAGGCAGTCCAGAGGAGGCCCGTGAAGATGATCCGAAGGCTGGAGCACCTCTCTATGAAGACAAGCTGACAGAATTGGGGTTGTTCAGCCCAGAGAAAAGAAGGCTCCAGGGAGACCTTATAGGTCCTTCCAGTACCTGAAGGGGGCCTACAGGAGAGATGGGGAGGGATGTATTAGAAGAGCATGCAGTGCTAGGATAAGGGGTAATGGCTTCAAACTGAGGAGGGTAGATTTAGATTAGATACCAGAAAGAAATGATCCCCACCTCCTGGAGGTGTGAGTCCAGCCTGGAGGAGGGACTCAGCTTGCCCAAGGGGGTATCCACTGGTCCCCTGCGTGGCTTTCCCCTCTCTTCTCTCCCCAAGCCCTGTGCTTTGGGAGGGAGAGCGCGTCTGCTAATGGCAAGCTGACAAGTGAATCAGTGCATACGTGCAATCACTGGTGCCGGGGGGAAGGAAACAAGGATTTATCCTCCCCCTGTTGTTTTAGACAATGCTTCCGCTTGCAGTCTGAGCTCCAGTTAAGGACGTTTATTGATCGCTTCTCTGGTTTACTACTGGCTGCCCAGGGAGCAAATAACAACATTTTAAACGAGCGGGCTGAAATACGGCAAGGCATGAGTTGACAAGAAGTGATTAAGCAGCTCTCTGATCTGGAGGAGGGTAAGAAACAAATGACAATATATATAGATGTATGACGGCTAATACAGCAGGGGAGAAAATCAACACACTTCAGGAAGGTGGAAGATCTTTCGGCTACTCCTGTTCCTGTCTGATGATTAAGCTGCTAAACTAAAGGTTGCCAGAGGGAGAGATGATCCCAAATATGTTTTTAAAAACACTGCTGCAGAGCACTGTGTATCCCTGTTCCCACGGCACCCACAGAAGCAAGGGGCTGATTCAAAGGCTGCTGAAGTCAATGGGAGGGTTTCCGATGACGTCCATGGGTTTAGATCCGATACCTAAATCCTGGGCATGGTTTTACTGAAAAAAACACTTAATACATGGCAGCCTTGGAAACTGCTCCCCAAAATGCTCTCCTTAGAAGAAATGAAGCATTGCTGGCTAACTCCTGGGTGCCACAATAGCACCTGGGATCATAAACATGCAGTTTTTTATTATACACAGAATCACAGAATCACAGAATCTTCTAGGTTGGAAGGGACCTTAAAGATCATCTTGTCCAACCGTCAACCTAACTGACAAAAATAGACACCCACACAACAAACAAGAAGCATCACCATCACTCAACCATACCTCCCAGCACTACATCAACCTGTTTTTTGAACACCTCCAAAAGGTTGAACGTGTGCATATTATTTTGCTCATCTCAAGAGCTTAAGGGATTAAAGCCATATTTTCCCCCAGTTCCAATCCTGAACTGGCATGGGCCATTTGTGCTTAATGGGTCATTCCTTATAGTTAGTGCAAACAAGGTTTTAGAAGGAAAGAGTCCACCTTCTGTTCTGCGTGGTACCATGTGCTGTGTCACCTCCAGCCCAGGCTCCTTAATCGCTTATGCCTGGTGGCGCAGGTGCATTTATCTGCTGATAAGAAGTATTTGCATAAGGCAGATCGATTTTTTTATGTATATCCTGATACAAGAGGAAATAGGCTCCTGGAAAATATCGGCAGAGAAGTGGAGAGATACCGTGGTTCCTATGACATCTCCCATCGCCCTTTAATCTCTCTCTATCACGGGTATTACCATTTGCAGGGGGGGTTGAAAGGCATTTCAAAGAGCTCAGGTGGTAAAAGCGCTGACAGCAAGCTCGGAGTCCACGGCTGAAGGTGACGTGCTGAGGTGGGGCCAGCAATGGCAGGTCTGGCAAACAGGTTGAAAGTCAGGTGTTCACCTTGCTAGACATGTATTTAAAAGCCTTTGAAGGTCAATGGTAGATTTTTCTAGTAGGCTGAAGGGAAAGGATTGTCTGCAAATAAAGTTTTCACCAGATGCAATGTTGCTATAGAATCAAAGTCCTCTTTGTTTAACAAGGACAATGGGTTTATAAAGATCTTATCACTGCTCGGATACTTGTGTTGCTCTGCAAAAGCAGACGGCAGGGTGCCTGCGAGCACAGGAGTGACATTATACCACATTAAAACTTGTAATTAAAAGAATAGTTCTTGCTTGGAAAAAACCTAACAGACCATGCTAATTCTTCAGCTTTTTGCAGGCAGGCAGAATT